TCAAATGCGAAAACAATTCGTCGATGTAGTCGGTCACCATTCTGATCCTCTTCCTGTAATTTCGGGTGTTCCGCAAGGGAGTGTCCTTGGCCCTCTTCTTTTTTTTCAATTTTTATTAATGACCTCACTTTTTGTATAGATAAAATCGTGAGTATTCATTTATTTGCGGACGACTGTCTATTGTTAAAGGATATTAACTCTACTAGGGACAAAGTTGTTCTGAACGAAAGTCTTAATGCAGTTTCTAGCTGGTGCGATCGTTGGGAGATTAAGCTTAACCAGGAAAAGTCCTTGTACATGCGCATCACTAACAAAAAGTCCTCTCATCAGTATGAATACTTTATTGGTGATAACTACATCTTTCGGACGATGAGCTTTAAATATCTTGGTATAACAATTTCTAGCAACTTATCTTGGTCCTCACACACTAAACACGTTTGTGCAGCTGCCCGTCGAAAACTAGGTATGATAAGGCACAAGCTTAAGCACGTGCCTTCTCATGTGAAACTTTTAGCCTATAGCACATTGATAAGAACGAAGTTAGAATACGCCTGTACAGTCTGGGATCCATTCACAAAAAAAGATATCAAGATACTGGAAGATGTTCAAAAGCAAGCAGCTTGTTTTATATTTAATCGCTACCACCCGCATGACTCACCTGCTGCCTTAATTCAAAGTAACAACATCATCTCTCTTGAATCACGAAGGAAGCTAGCTAGACTAAAATTTCTTTATCAACTCTGGTTTAACAAGCTCCGGCTTGAATCGTCGTCCTTTCTTCACCCATCCTCGACTAGGCGCACAAGGCATGACCATCCGCATAAAATAACTCCAGTATTCGCTCGAACAAATGCATTTAAATACTCCTTCTTTCCCAGAACCATAACAGAATGGAACAACCTACCTCATCACATATTTATATCTGACAATGTTTTGGAGTCGATTGAGCGTTTGTTTGATGTGTAACGCTTTGCATTGTGTTTTATTTTCCTGTTCCCCACTACCGCCACTCCTCCCAACTTCGTTGTGAGCTATTACATGTGCTTTATTACAATTTTTGCATAATTTTCCCCTATTCCCCTCTCCCATTTTACGGATTACCTGCTGTTGCGTTTTGTTTACTCCACTTTTGTAACCCCCAATCCTGCTTGGGCCGCAATTGGCCTGCAGTATTCCTAAATAAATAAATAAAATAAATAAAATAAAATATTAACTATGGACAGGCACTAGGTTTTTTGCAAACTTTTTTGCAGTAAAACAAGACCCACAAAATGAAAGATGCTTTCTGACAACTTACCTTCCGCTCTCATTGGGACGTGTCAAGAGAATATGTAATGATATTTCCGCGCAGTTTTATTCAAACGTACTGTTTAACAACAAAATTCGCGCCTTCAAAAATGTATTACAACGTACTGCCTCGTATTTGTTGGCACCAAGTGTCATGCGACAAACACCGCCGAGGCCGGCACATTCACTAAATAAAACATCTCGTCGTAAAAGAACTCTTAAAGGTTCTTCGGCTTGTCCAACTTTGCACCCTAAAAGGTTCTTTTAAACACCTCCTAAAAGGGTTATTCGTGAAAAACTTAAGCTCCATTTTTGATGCCAAAGAGTTCTTCATCGCCCAGATGCCTTTCTAGTGCGCCAGGGTTCGACATAGTGCTTGAGGCGAAACCGTTTACCCGAGCTGAAAGAATTCTTGGAACGTCAAAAAACCTTTCAAGAGGGTTCTTCTTTTTTTTTTTTTTTTTTTTTTTAGAGTATGCGATTGAGGCGTCAGTTGTGTTGGTGGCTCCACAAGTCATAAAGCAATGCAACTGCACACGCAGACAACCATCATGAAAAACAAAAGCACAATGCAATCTGCAAATGCGGTGTTCACTAAAGACATTCGAATGGTTCGAATGTGGTCTTGACTTTGGAGTCGCTCGGAAATCTGAGGCACACAGTTTTACATCCTGACTGGCTCGTGTCCTGGAAACAAAATGTAGGTTGCCAAGATCGGCGACGAACAGCCCGTGACCCGAGCCAGCCCCGAGCGCCCGAGTTGCACACCCAAATGATGGCCAGTCGTTTGTTCCGGAAAGAAATCACTGCCATCTATAAGCAAACGACTACAAATAATGCTCGTATGAGTCCCCCTTTAACGCCAATAAGTCGTCTGTAGCAGCGCCGGGGACACTTTCCGCTATTTCCCCTCTTTGTTTGTACGCAAGCAATATTTTGTTAGCGTCTTTGGTTCTGGTAAAACGCACAAGCAAGCAAATGGCTCTATCAATTATGGAACTCATGGAGTACGATCGAGCACGCGCTTGGGACGCATAAACCTGCTGATCTCCACTTAGGGGACTAGATGGCGCGTTGAGCAAACATGTATGAAGTCACCGAAAGAAAGCAGATTGTCCCGCAAGTCAACGTTTGACGGGCTTTTCAACTCCTCCGAGCGCTGGTGCGAACCGCGTCCAGGCCGCTGTTTTTTTTTTTTTTTTTTTTTTTTTTCTTGTCGTCTTAAAAGGGCTTGCTTGTTGCGCAGTAACAGCGCATGCATGGCCTGAAAAGCCTCCTGGGATGCCATTTGGTGTGAAAATTGAGAAAATCCAATTGATCAGGTGTGCGTATGGGCCACGTTCAAATTCCCTATTTTCGGGATTTAAATAAAACACAGGATGATGAAAACTCCCTCAATGACACAAGAAAGTATGTACTGCGCGGGCTAAATTTGCCATCCACAGCGGAGACACCAGGTACCCATTTGGACTCCATTTCGCTGTCTAAACAAACACACAACGCTTATTTTGTTATTTAGAACTCAATATAAACTCTAGACAAAATACATACTATTACTTAGCTTCCTCAATCATGCGATTTGTTTCAATTAACTTATTTCATACAAGCGGAGCCCCTACTTCAAGTAACATGTCTGGTCAGATTACGTTAACACAGTTTTTACAAACCCCGCCTATGCTTCCCCCCCCCCCCCCCCGTTAAACGGTGTTCACCGACAGTCTTAACCTTAACTCCATAAATAAAACAAAGCTAATTAAGCGAGTCAATTTAACTCTCTTAGCTTCCATATTCTCAAGTGCGTTCGGCCCTGCTTCACCAGCGCGCGAGCCGCGACAGTCGAGTCGAACCTCTTACAGACGCTCAGCATCCTCCTCCATCCCTGCCTCCGCATCACTTTTTTTCCCGGTCCCCGCTCTGATTGGCTCCACGACGACCGCAGGTGGGCGGAGCTTACCTCCTGCGCATTTCCCTCCTCCCTCAACCTCCCCACACGCTCCGTTTCCACGAATTCCCCAAACGTGAGGAGAGGAGCTAAAAAAGGGAGGCGAGGGATGACGGCGTACTGGAACGCTTCTTCATATTGTTTATTAATTCTTCCTTCGGCGACGGCCCCAGGAAAGAATTAATAGAAATTAAATACGAAGGAGGAGGAGGGAGGCTGTAAGAGAGAGAGGAGGCTCTCCCAATAAGGCTTCCCATGGAAGCAGCCATTGGTCTGTGGCGGATGTTTGTGACAAGTGCCGCGTTACCCTTTTCTATTTCATTTCTTTTTTTCGCTCGCACTTGGATAAAATGAGAAATGTCAGCTTTCAGTGTTGACAACAGCCCCGTCCGAGCAACCTCTCCCTCTTTCCCTCTGTCCCGACTCGAGAGGCTCCCTTGGCTGTCAACGCCAGCAACGCCAGGGGGACCAACGCAGAGCTAGGCTTGTTCCGCGGAGAGTTCTCTATCTCGGTCGAAGCTTCCGTGTGGCTTGCTGGTTCCTGGCAAAGCGTTGCAGCGCCCGGCATTTTTCCCCACCCCCCTACAGCAGGGTGTTTCTTGGTCGGCAGCAGCACCAGGCAACAGTGGCTTGTGTGGTCGGCGCTTTCCCCCGCGGCCAGGGGGAATTCGGGAAGAATCTCCGTCGTTGCCAGATCTCCAACGCCGCTGCTCCTGTTGAGAACACGAGTGGAGTTTTTTTTCCCCCTTTCCCCCGCAAGCCTGTCATATCTCCCCGCTTTTGAATTCCGTCGCTGTACGGGTCCGCGACAGGCGCGCATCAGCCACTAGTGATACAAGTTGGCTTTATCTTGTTTTTTTATCCCTTTCAATTGATAAGGTCCTTTTTAAGATTATAAATACTCTTTTTTTTCTCTCTCTCTCTCTCTTATACGGTTGAGACGAACTCACTCTGCTCGAAGCCTCTCCCTGGTATTGCTTCTTCAGCCCGAGTTTTTCGAGTGGTTTCGTATTTAGTTTTCCTAACGAACCTTCGCGTTTTGCATCAAAGGAGTCTCAAAAAGTTTTAGCTAAAACTTCTTTTTATTAGGTTTTTTTTTTTTTTTTCTTGCTTTTCACTTATTTGTCGCTGTTAGTAGGAAAGAAAAAAAAGCGGCGCCGGCCGCCTTCTTGTTTCCCCGCGAACATCCCCCGGAGGCAACTTCGGAGCAAAAGGCAGGAAGAAAGTCGACAGAACTCTCGAGACCAAGAACAGAAGAAGAAAAAAAGAACGATGGTATGAAAAAGGGAAAAGCCGTCTGCCAGTACCAGATTTTTCAATAACCGCACGTGCCGTCGGGTTTCCGCGGCAAAATCATCCAGCGCAGCAGCAGCAGTGCCGTCTGCATCGAACTCAAATCAAGCCGTCCAGCCAACGGAACAAGAGGAAACAGCCACCAGCACCGCTGCCAAGAGCCTATACTTTTTTTTTTACTTGTTCCCTATTCTCCCTATTTATTCCATAATTTCGAGTCGAACAAGGGCGAGGAGGAATTGGGAGTAGGGGAGGAGGGAATAGGGAAGGGGTGCGCACCGACGCACGCACGCGGCCCGCACGTCCCCGCCGGTGCTCGTCGTCCAGAAATTGGACTTGTCGGTTGCAGCGCCCGTGGCTGCTGCTTCCCATGCCGTCGCCTCCCCTCGCCGCTGCGTTTCTTCAACACCGGCTGACGCCGCCGCTCCAAAGGCTAGCCCCGGGCGAGACTCTATAAAAAGGGAACGCGCCCCCCAGCATGTCATCCCCCGCCCTGCCGCCTCCGTACCGTCACCGACACCAGCACCAGCAGCAGCAGCAACACTTCATCGGCGGAGGCGAGGACTTTGCGTCGGCGGCGGCCGCGGAGTTTCCGTCGTACGTGGACGACGAACTGGCCTTCCAGTGCGCGTCGGCTGGGACGACCTCGCTGGTCGGCGGTTCGGGGGCGGCGACGACCTCAGCGGCGGGAGTCGGGCCGGCGTCTATGCACCTGGAGGACGGGGGAAGGGACAGCGTCTCTCCCGGATCGCCTTCGTCGGGGGAAGTGCAGAGGCCCGCGTGCGAGTACGCGGCGAGGAGCGCGCTGCCCGGACAGCTTCTTCCTGGGATCGCCTACCCGGCCTGCCTCGCCGGTGAGTTCTTGCTCTGTCCCCCCCTTGCTACCAGCTATACTCTGTGTGTATGTGTGTCTGTTTGTGGGCGGGTGGGATTTCCAATGGGATAACAGAGCGTAATCGCTAGATTCAACACTGTAAAGTGAGTTGCTATGTTGTAGGTTTTTCTGGCACTGAGAAAGGTTATGAATTACACAACGCAATTCGATTCGAACCACTTGTTTCTTGACCCTAGCACTTCACTGTGTTGTTCGGTGCATGATTAGTTATGCAAACGGAAGCGACAGCTTGCCTGCTATACAGCGATATGGGAAAACAAGACTGGAATGACGACGAGGATGAGCTTTAAGGTGTCCGATGTACATGAGTTCGTTTCTTCACTGTGGTTAAGTTTGGGACGGAAGCGTGCTCGTCACGATGGGTGCGACATCATCGTGGTGGTGCTGAGAAAACTTAGATTGGAATTGTCAACCTTGGAGGTGGTTTCTACTGTAGATCGTGACTCATGTATTCCTGCAAAGCACACGAATACCTGTGTAAATGGCTATTTGAAATGTTTTCCTCGAAAACTCCGAGAATTTCTTACTCATACAAAACTTTTTTGGACCGTGTATTGGGGAGGTATGTATACGTATTTGAGCGCTTCTCATATATAATTCTTTGGACGTGGTAAGCCGATTTACATAAGTCATGGTATGAATTCCAGCGCCTCCGCCATAGTCGATTGGTTATCGGCAGTTCTAGAGGCGCATTTAACAGAAGGCAAGCACGCGTCATATCACGAACGCTAAGAATGGAACTGTCCAAAGCACTGTTTCAAACGTTCTGGCCGCCGGTGAGGGGACAGGTGGCCGTACAAACAGACACATGTGAGCGTGAAAAGAGAAGCGATGCAGGAAATATCAGTAATGCTGTGATGGCTCTCAGAGTAGAATTTCAGAAAAGTGGGCTTTCAAATTTTGTGGGGACCCCTTCACACCATTCCGTTTTGTCTACAATTTGTGACGCATTCGTTTCAAACAGTAGCGTTAACAAAAAAAAAAAAAGAAACAGCACGCTCCAAGTCAATTGTAAGCTTTCTTGAACTTCTAGATACCGGGATACGCAGGCGTGTATTGGAACTGGCATGAGAAGTTATTCGCTATTTATCTTTTACCCGAACTAGCACAGCTGCTGATGCTGCGTTTGCTTGGCTTAGTTTTTATTTATTCAAAATTTATTTAGCCCGCAAGGCAAAACAACCAAAAACAATTATGACACCACTCTAGAAAATATCTATTTTATAAACTTCCCCGGAACAGCACCGAAGGTTCTCCATAGGAACTTTTAGCAAACCGTTACCGTGGCCCGCGCACCGGATTACCGGAGCCTTCGAAGCATGCTTTTAAGCGCGCGCCCCGCGGTCACGGTATCACTCAGGCGCCGTGCCGCCTCTTCGAAGGCTCCGGTAGTGCGGCACGTGGAACACGGTAATGGTTTTCTAAAAGTTTCTAACATTTCGAAATACTGAATCCCTGGACAATTTACGATGTTAGTCGCTGCTCGTCTTTCTGACTTCTCGAACAAACATGATATGTTTCCTTACCCTTTCTGATTACCAACTAGATTGTTGGGAATCACAAAAGCAGAAATTCCGTAGTTTTGTAATTGTATACATATTCATAACCAACTTTATGTGAAGCCAAGACCTCCGGCTAAGAATCATTAAAACTGTGTTGCTAGAGTACTCTTTCATAAAGTATAAGATGCACCCAACTGTCTCGCACAAGGCATAATGTTCAAACTTTCGGAACAAAAGGGAAAACGTTTTCCTGATCACAGAATATTCACTGAGCCATATCAGTCCTTGTTTCCCGCAAAACAATATTGAATTCTGCAAAATACTCTTTTTCGCTTAAACATGTTATAATTAAAACATATGTGAAATATATATCTGCTCTTTTTTTGTGTGTGTGTGATAATTGCTGTTAAGTGGGCGTGGGCTTACACATAACACAGCAGGCTTCACAAGTCTGCTAACTTTGTGTTCTGAAGAAACATAATAAAAAAAATTTGGTGTTGAATGTTTAGAAACTAAAAGGTCGGTCGACCTTTGAAGTATGACGACACTGGTTCACGTTTTAAATGCACAAGTTAGCCAGTAACGAACGGAAGCCTTCTAGCGTGTATCACGCAGTAGTGAATACACAACGACACACGGCCGGGCGGCGGTTTTGTCCGGCGGTCGCAGCCGCAGGTTTCCGTTTCGGCGGGACCCCCCGGGGAGGGTTGCGCTGTTTATTGTGCAGTGTTGGAACTAACGCGTTAAAAGTAACGACGTTACTGGTAACGCGTTAGTTTTTTTACTAACGTACAAACGTACTGGTTAGAATCCCAAATGACAAACGAGCAAAGTAATGTCGTTATTAATTTACGGTATCTCCTATCAAATAACGTTACCCGTTACTCGTTACTTTTGATTAAAAATGGCCACATGATTCTTTGAAAACAAGATAATTTTGTTTCTGTGCTTTAGGTAAAAGTGGAAAAGAAACACCAACAAACCTATGTATAAACGGCGTCATATCAAACTCCTTCGGAAGACACTCCTAACGTTCCCTTGCCGTACCCTCAGTAGCCGTCTCGCTGGAAAGAGGCATCCAGAATTTTGACTCAGCGTCCCTAGCTACTCTATCTGGTCACATCCTTCTCTTCAAAACGAATAAACTTTCGTTCTGTCAACAACAAACAGGATAAACTCTGAATTTGGACGCGTTAACGTTCCCACGCTTTGAACCAAAACAAGTGTGTGAGCGGTGCCCTTGTGTTGACGTGTCGTTAATCGCAGATGCGACGTTGGTTTGTGAAAGAATAAAATAACATTTATTTTACCGGATTAACTTTGATTATAAGAAGAGGTATATTTTGCGTACATTATGTGTCGTGCATCCCGTCGTTCTTTTCCAAAGCGGTTACTTCTTCCCAGGCAAGTGCTATGGACAAAGTTCAGTTCTCCGAATTGCGCTCGCGAAGCGTCCTTTGTGCGAGGATATACATTAGACATCCTGCCGACGGGTAATCTTTTATTAACCTGATCAATGCAATGTGAATTTTTTGTTAGTATTTTTGTCGTTATTGAAATTTTGAAATGTTATTATTGTGTGTTGTTCTGAATGGTTTATTTATATTGTTCGTTGCTGGTTTGTATTGTTTGTGAGAGTGTCCAGCGTATAAGTATGATCTGTACCCACTCTTCTGCTGTAATGCTCCGGCGCTGCAGAGTACAAATAAATAAATAAATAAATAATCACACTGAACAAGTTTATTGTTGATCAAGTTATATAGAGGCGGTTTATTATTAACAGCTGTCATATGTTAACAATGAAACACAAAGTAACGACAAACTATTGTAAAGTTAACGTCTGTTAGTCATGGCAAGTAACGACACCGGTATTTCGTTACATTTGCAAAACGGTAACGGAGCTCTGTAACGCGTTAGCTTTTCTCCAAGCTAACAAGTAACGCTATTTTGTTAGCAGTGAGAGAGTGCAGGCGAGCTGGTAATCAATCGTCATCTTGTAAACCCTGAGATGGGGAACGATAAAAAAACGGACGAACACAACAAAATCTCAAGTTGTGTTCGTCCGTTTTTTTATCGTTCCCCATCTCAGGGTTTACAAGATGACTATTTTGTTACTTATTTTCGGTAACGGGCACAACACTGTAAAATATTCTGCCTTGCAGTTGCGTATCTCGGATGGTGTCGGGTATGCCCGGTGCGTGACAGAGACTCTTCGGGTCAGGATTCCGACTTGCGTGTGGCGTCGCAGCAGGCCACCACACGCCTCTCCAAGTAATCAGCGCAAAACACGCGCGTCGAACTGTAATTTTCCGCGATAGAAACTGCTGAGGACCAGTCGAACAAATAAGACGTCACAGTAGAACCGCCCGCAGCTTGGGAAGTTCATTGAAAAATAAGGCCCCACCTTCGTTTCACAGTTTGAACCTCCCAGTTTCATTCACGGTCACCCACAGGTGGCGTCTGATTTTGGTGCTCTTTGCACCGTCAATCCCGTTTCTTACCTCGCCTGCCAATTTACCGCCAACCAAACTGGCGGCTCAATAAAGAGACGTGTGTAAGCAGAGTCTTTCAAGTTCGTTCATACACCGGCTTTTGTAAACAAGAGAGGACTTGATGAATCGAGAAATCGGTACACTGTTTCAACGTCAAATCGTGCAATGACTGTCTGGATCGTATTTTTGATAATTCTGTAAGAACTATATGGGAAAGTCATGTTCTTGGGAAGAACATTTGGCTATATGGGAACGCTGTAGCTAAACTTTTCCCAGAGATATAAAACCGAGAAGCTCGAGGTGTGGACATTGCCGAGATTTCACTATGGTAATTTCCACAGACGCCAATGTCAAACCGACCCAGGCATGTAGGTAATTTTCTTTTCATATATTTTATAGACAATTGACAACATTCGCACCAAATATTAAAAATTCCATTCATATATTTTTATTTTAAAAAAATTACGAAACACGTAAAAAAAAACACGTTTTAGTGACATTTTTATAAATTATTTACCAAAAAACATCTTTATGAAAAATGTATGTTATCAAAGGCAGCTTCCGAGTGTATAAACGAAGTTTGCTAATAATATGACCCGGACAGTCATTGTACGATCAGACGTGGAAATACCAACAGCATTTTTATTGTTCACGAGCAAAGCGATTTTATTTTGTAAGGAATTAAAATATTTTCTATGAACAGTTGATTTTTTTTATACAATCATGCCATAGTATAATCTGCTCACAAACTTATTAGATTTTTCGGTCACGTTCTTGCTCTTCCCTGGAATCGGCGACCGTCTTACCTTTCTTTTATTCCACGGACGGCAGTTCTACTATTTCAGATGTATTGGGCACTTCGTAAATTGCAACGTAAATAAATTTTGCAAATTGAATTTAAATGGCCTGATATAACGCAATATTGACATTGAGTTTTGAAAATTATAAAAAAATTGAAGATGGTC